CAAATCAGTATCGCCTGCAAACAGCACTTCAAAAACAACTTCGCTCAGCATCTGCTACACTGATACACAGGTCGCCCTGGCTACGCCTAACTGTCCTATCACTGTGCAACACGGACAGGAGTAGGGGCAGAGCGCACGCTTGGCGAAGGCCAATGCCAAGATTGAAAGGTATTGACTTTATGCCGCACCTACCATCAAAATGTAGTAACAGGACGGCTCGTAACAATTGGTCATCTATCCCATAATTATGCGTGCATACCCATAGCTTCTTGTGCAGGATCTGTTCTTGGGCTTTCAGCTGCTCTACAAAAGATATGTACACCGCATGAGCGAACTGTCGTGATTTTTCAGTCTGGCGTGCCGCGAAGATCTGGTTAGAGATGCTTCACCCTCAGCGAAATCCACACTGATCTCCTTGGATCTGGAAGTTAACTATTTCGTATCGCCTCCTTCTGAACAACTTTGCATAGAATTTTCCAAGAAGACACACTAAGATAATGCTCCAATGATTGGAACATTCCCTACGATCTTCCATCTTTGATAGAGTATTACTCCAGTTCTCCAGTCCACTGGTATCTTTCCCACACAAACTGTCATTTGACACACTTTTTAGCAACAACATGACCTTTTCGCCTAACGCTTTAAACATTTCATGTCGGATTTCGTCGATTCCAGCGTCCATACCACTTTCCAGGCCTTAAAGCTTCTGCATCTGCAACTACTGAAAGATTAATATGCTCCTCCTCAGTTTTCTCAAGGCGAGATCCCCTGTGGTTGCTCGCTGTTTAGAAGCTTCTCAAAAAGTCTCCGGTTTTCTTTGGCAAAAAGGCTTGTCCTTTGGGACGCTTAATCGCTGGATTAGAAGACGTCATTCTTCAGTTTTAGAACTGAATCAGCTATGAATTTAATTTATGTTAACGTGGCTGGTATAATTCGAATTTTATTTTATTTTTCACAAGTTATCAAACTATGCAAATTCGAATCTTTCAATTCTGTTTTTACTCTAGTTAGTAAGGTTTGATCTCTTTTGCTTAAATTTCTCATTCCGTATGTTTTTACCATTGATGGATTTATTCTGGTTTGTTATTATCATGTGTATGCTATTGTCAGTGCTTGTTTCAGAGAATCCGAATGGTTGTTTTCTACGGAGAAAGGCCGTCAAAAGCTATGCTCACTCTCAAATGCCAAGCGCCTGGCGGTTGTCTTCTTGCATCGAGACCACAGTTTTGGTTCTTTGAATGATGTTCGCACTGAGCTGAATTCGGTCATCAAAGATTTTGCTCCATGCGACTGCTTCGATCAGATTCCTTTCTGGTCCATTGGGGAAAATGTTGGGGAACGGATTTATCGTGTAAACAAACTTCTTCATACTTAGCGTGTGCTCTTTTGTGTTGCTTATTATGACAGATCAGTAATTTTGTCACGAAATCAAGATATAGATCGCTTTTATTTGGATTCACCGATTTGGTTTTTGCACACGATAGATTTCACTCTTCGATTCGGCAGTCGTTAGTCTCTGCATAAATATTCAGTGAATATATGCAGTCCATGGCTTTGATTATGACTGCTGTATGAATGGACTGGGTATCGTCACCATCTGTTTGGTCACTCCTTGTCAAGATTAACAGTTAAATGATGATATGCATGAAAATCACAATTCAGAGATTTTTTCTGCTTGTATCCATTGGCAGATGACCGCGTTTTCCATGAAACCCTGGAATGCGTTACATAGTTTTGCG